GAAAATGAAGCTTTTAGTTGTCGATGAAAACGTTCTACCAACCCGTTTGCTTGTGAATGATAGGTGGTCGTACGGAAGCGCGTGATTTCTAATAGTGAGGTCAGACAACGGAAAAGTCCAGATTCAAGCTGGCGTCCGCGGCCGAAATTCGCAACCCATCGTTAAACGAAAGCGCGAGCTACAGTTTCAACGGTAATGTTCTTAATCGGTACTGCTTCTGGCCATCGAGTGAAACGGTCTGCGCATGTTAAGAGACATGAGTATCCGTTTGAATCGTGTAAGGGTCCTACCAAATCTAGATGAACATGGTCGAAACGAGCATAGGGAGTTCTGAAAAAGCCTAAGGGACGTTTGTTGTATCGAATAACCTTAGATTTCTGGCAGCTTACACAGGAGCGTGCCCACTCCCTCACGTCTTTATTCATGCCAGGCCAATAAAAGCGTTCGGCCATAAGTTCGATTGTTGCACGAGCACCTGGATGAGAAAGATTGTGCAACGTATTGAAGACGTTGCGGCGATAATGTTTTGGTACAATTGGACGATCCCTACCTGTAGATGTGTCACAGAGTAAAGTTTCCTTACCTGTTCCCATCTGCTTAATACTTAGTTTTAGAGTTGTCGAGGATAACTCATGCTGAAGATCAGTGTCTTCTCTTTGAAGCTGAGAGAGTTTAAGAAGGTCGATTCCTTGGGAACTGTTCAAGGAACTTATTCGAGACAAGGCGTCTGCGACTACATTGTTAGCTCGAGAAATATGTTGTATGTCTGAAGTAAACTGCGAAATGTAGTCGAGTTGTCGAGACTCTCGCGGTGAGTACTTGTCTGAAGATGAAGTTAAAGAGAAGGTAAGAGGTTTATGATCGGTAAAAAGCGTGAATTCTCTTCCTTCGATGGAATGTTGGAAATGCCGTACAGCACAATGCATAGCTAGGAGTTCCCTACCGAACGTGCTGTATCTAGATTCAGCGTCTAGCAACCGTCTCGAGAAAAATGTAAAAGGTTGCCACGAGTTGTTAAACTATTGTTGTAAGACTCCTCCGATTGCTGAGTCAGATGCGTCTACTGTGATACCAATGGGCGCTTGAATGTTTTAATGCGCAAGCAGGGTTGCCTTAACGATATGTTCCTTAACTGTGGAGAATGCTTTTCGAGCTGTGTCGTTTAGACTAATTGATTTTGCATTTCGACGAAGTTGGTCGGTTAACGGTTTCATAACAGATGCGCAATTTGTTATGAACCGTCTATAGACACTTACAAGGCCGTTAAAAGTTCGCAATTGCTCAATCGTGGTCGGTCCTGGGTAATCCAGAATGGCCGCCACTTAGCTTCTAAGGGGTCTGGTGCCTTGTGCATCAACAGTGTGTCCTAAGACGTCTGGGGAGTTTGTTCGGATTTGACATTTCTGAATGTTGGCAGTAATGCCATGATTTTGGAGTCATTCGAAAACGATGTCCAAATGCTTGAGATGTGATTCTCTGTCCGGACTTGCTATTATACAGTCATCAACATACACATGTACGAAGTTGAGACCTCGGAAGATGTCGACTATGAACTTTTGGAAGGTTTGAGCCGCATATTTTATGCCGGAAGGCATTCGTAAGAATTCGCAGAGGTCGAAAGGAGTGATGATGGCGGTTTTTGAAATGTCTTCGGTTGCCATCGGTATTTGGTTGTAAGCCTTAACTAAGTCTATTTTTGAAAAGACAGTTGCACCTTTCAAGGTAGATGTCAAATCGTGAATGTGAGGCAGCGGGTAACGATCAGGAATAGTTTCAGCATTCAGACGCCGATAGTCACCAGTTGGACGCCAATCATTGCTGTCCTTTTTAGGGACCATGAGCAAAGGAGACGACCAAGGGCTATTTGACGGTCGAATTATTCCTAAGTCTGTCATGTGGTCGAATTCGTTTCTGGCTAACCTCAGTTTTTCGGGAGCCAGTCGGTGTGCTTTTGAGAATACAGGTTTTCCTGTAATCGAGATGTGATGTGTAGCATTGCTGATTACACACGGCAATTTCGGTTGCGGTTGATATATTCCGGAGTATTTATTGAGTAATGGTTGATATAGGCGGTCTATGGAGCTCTTAATTGTGACTGCGGATAATCTGCAAACATAAAAAGGAGTTACACAAACAGATAATTTAGTGTTTCCGCCTATTAACCTCCGTGTGTGTGGATCAGTAGATTGTGGTATTGTAGTAGGTCTATACGAATGACTGGCATAGAAACATCTGCAACAACAAAAATGCAGTGGATGGGTTTGCATAAACCCACGTTAAGGTAAACATACCTTTTACCGTATGTAGCGACCGGTTTTCCGTTCGCCGCCTGTAAACTTAAAACAGACTCGTCAATTCTGTCGCTAGAGTTCGCGGGAAGAACGCTTACTTCTGCGCTGATGTCGATGAGGTAGCGGACTTTAGCGATCACATCCGTGATGTATAAGAGGCGGTTATGTTCGTCGGCTACGGTTGCCGTTAACGCGTGCCGACTTGGAAGTTTCCCGAAGTCTTATTCGTGTCAGAGGATTTGGAGTTCGGATAATTGCAAGGTTTTCTGGAAGACCAACCATACTGGTTATGATAACAGCACCAGTCGAGATCATCTGTCTCTCGTGGTCGAGAGACAGATCGCCTACGTGAGACACTTCTACGCGGGGTTTTTGACCGACTACGGTCATTACGAACTCTAAGATATCGTGTAAGCGTGTGACATAGTTCGGCTATGTCAGTCGGGGTCGATTGTGGTTTTTCCTTGACGGAAAAAACCTCCGCGCTAGCCGGTCTGGTTATTTCTAATATTCGATCGGCAGATGGGGGTAGTTCGTCTAGGGCGTTGTTTGAAACGAGACGAGCACTGCCTGCACCTGTTTCGGGAGTTTAGAGAAGAAAAGTTGTTTGAATAGGCCATCATAGAATGTTCGTTGACCTATGACTTCTTTCATCCTTAACAACATGTCCGTCGCGGAACCATGTTGAAGGTTGATATTGTTAAGTAGTTGGTCTAACCGTTGTCGATCGGTTAGATCTCCGCGTTTTAGAATCGACCGTTTGAGAGATTCGTAAGGTTCCGGGACATCACTAGTAAACATACTAGGTGTTACGTACCTGTCAAACTCGCGCGGTAACGCCCTAACTACCGCGAGTAATCGTGCGCACGAGTCCGTTATTCCATGCCCGCAAACGTCAGCTTCTGCGCAGCAGAACCAGGGTTCGATATTGTCAGGCCAAAAAGGCGTTAACTGAATGGAACGTGGGGGAATAGATTTCAACTTAAAAACCTTAGGTGACTGTTCCGTCATAGTAATATAAAGAACCAAAATTTTTTAAGTAAAATATATCCAGAAAAACTCGAGAAAAAAGGATATCATAATATATAAAAATGAAATATAGAATAACAATGTATAATGATATTCCAAAAGGAAACAGACTCACAGTTTATTGGTTTTGTGTACCAGATCACGTCGGGCTCACCACTGAAGATACAACTAGTATTCTAATTTTACAACTAGCAACCATTAACACCTTCTATGTACGAAGCATTTACCAACTAATCGAAATCAGAAGTCGGATGCGAAGAGGTAGGAAAGGTATATTTGATACGTTACTAATATATCGCGAAGCGTTATATGGAGACCCAACATAACGGAATAGACTGCAGACACAACTTCTAATCCGTAAGAGTTGTCAAATGCTGGAACTCGCTTCCTACTGAGCTAGTCCAAGCGACTTCCCAGGAGTCGTTTGAGAGGAAAATTGACTTATTCTTAAGGACTAAGGATAACTTATTATGATTTACCAAATTCATTTTTCCTCTCTTATCGTTAATATACCTAGGGTTTTGCCTGGAGGTATCGATGATCCATTGCTACTAGACACGGAAGCCCATTAAACGAAAGCTTCTTCTATTCCGTCCTCAACCATTTGAACCATTTGGACTCTTGACACTAAGTCTTTCATTTTAAAACTGAGACTGTCAGCGCAAATTTCGTTTCCTACGGTACACAGATTATTTGTGCATCTTTGTGTAAACTATTCGAAACCATATCTAATATTTGAAACTTGGTGTTACTCGTATAAAATGTAGTATCCAAAATAATTTTTTTCTGCTTGAGATTTTAGTTTTTATATAACACTCAATGACACCCATCTCTCCAGCCGCATGTATATAACAGTCAAATATGACAGTTTGTATGTCCCTTGATGGTAGCATCTTCTCTCCTAACCAATAAGTTAAGATTTTCTGAAAGCTTAGAATTTCGGGAAAATTTAGGTATGATTATTGTTTGTATACAATAATTTGGTGAACCTTTTTTTCTGATATTGACATTCCTTACTAATAACTATTATTCTGTTATAGGTGGGGAATCGGAGACGTCTAGCAACGTTTGGTTGTTAGTTTGGGCTCTTTAAGCCCTTAACTGTAAAGTCAAACCGGTTAACAAATACTTTAGTTCAAGCATGACAATATAACATCGAATCAGAGACTATACCAAGTAGTGTTTTTATGCCGCCAAATTACATATCACCCCATCCAAGCCCATGTTGATGCAAGGAACTAAGGATATGTTGCTTATAATTGCTGGGATAGTTAAGGAAATGAGTCAAATTTGTAAATAGTCCCATTCCTCACCATGCGGTAGACAATGAAAATTGTATCAAGAGTGGGAACACTTCTTCAGTTATACACTCAGTCCCGAGTAATTTGCCAAATGACTGAATATCATAACTTTTCGTTATGACGGAAGCCGGCTCGGAGGGACCAAAACTTTGTACGAAACTGATGTATTCGACCCCTATATTTGTGTCAAAACACAATAGGAATACCACCGTCCACCCGATCATATACAAAAACATACGCTTGCTTTCTCCCCTTTCAATAATATCTCTACCCCAATTCTTTCTATGACATTTTTAGCTGCACATTCATTTTCCTTAACTGGCGTTATTTTTTATCTATTATTATTATTATTATTATTATTATTATTATTATTATTATTATTATTATTATTATTATTATTACGACACGACTTCCCTGTTTTGTATTACTTTCAATATGATTTTCATCTATAAATTGCAACCTAATTTAGTTTGGAATGGTTTTTATCTTCTCATGGTTCATGTTAAGAACAGCAATTGACTAGTCTCTTTTTTACATATACATCCTGAACGGACTCTTTTGATATTCCCATTCGGTCGAAGGTTCTATCGAGTTGGATAGTGGCTAGCAATAGAATCCAAAACCGTTGTTCTGTTCTGTATAGAGCTTGACACTAACTTAATGTATAAATCCTTCTTACCTCTTTCGCGATTACCATCTAGCCTAAAAAATGCCATATTCTGTAATTATTTATGACAGCCTACGTGTAATTCATCATTTTAAATGTACAACTAATTCACCTATAAATTTTATTGGCTCTCTAACATACTGTCTACTTTATTACGATACTTTTGGTTTTATAGATGTATAGTTTAACAACCAATTTACTAAAAATAAGTGTTAACCCAAGTAATTTTCACTTCTGAATTTTCTGAGGGCTTTTTAGCTACCTTCTGCAAATTTTTGTTTGTGTTAAGTAAAGTCTACACTATTGCAGCCTGTATTACCATAGGGATAAGACCCATGTAACTGTTTACATTTATGAGACGATACTTGGGTCTTCGGTTCACAGAAGTACCTTGGTGCCATGTACTATTTAGGACGAATTTTCAACAAATCGGCCCGAAAAGAAATTCTCTATGCTTTGTAGCAGTCTTTCAAACGTGTAGTTTGGTTTTATTATTTTCTAATTTCTACGTCGTTCGTTTTAGATGCTTCGCGGTCAACGATTTTTAAAATGAGGACATAACCATCGTAAATTACGTTGGTATATAGTGTGTCATGGCACGAAGTTTTTGGCGCAGTTCAAACTAGTAAGTCCTGTTACTCTCTGTTAGCTCATCAAGGATAACCCCTTTATTACTGAGTAATGAACACATTCCCGATTATTTTATGTATTTTATTTGTTACAGACGTCATATCAGCATATCCTACTGCCTGACGCTACCTTTAACAGATATGTTTAGATTATATAGGCTGCAGTTAGTAGAAATGCAAAGTAGACCATGAAAATATCCACCAAAATGTTTTAAGTTGCAAAATTTTACTTGATCGTTTAATTGAATGATATAGCAGTGGTTGATGATTGGTTTGAAAATAAACAACTTATACTTCATCGTTTGGATGGAGGCTACATTTTTATGTACCTCAACATTTCTCATTCGATAATTTCACATTGGATTAAGGGGAAATGCAAACAAAAGTCCTGACACATTGCTTACTTTCAAGAATCACGTCTCCTAGCTGTACATTGTAAAATAGGTTATATAGAAAAGTTACCTACTTGGAGGAAAAGTAGTCTGTATTCATATATTGCTAAATTTTCGTTTCATATTATCTTTTCTATTCATACTTATTCTTTAACTTACAGTTTAGAGTGGTTATTGGATCGTCAAGATGTAATGATACATAGAGCGAATGATTTAAAAATTCTTGGTAGCGAAGAAGAATATCAGAAAGTGATGCTTTTCTTTACTGATGGTATGTTATGTTTTAAACCTCATAAATTTCTGATACCATCATCATCACTTTCATTCCCATCTAAAAATTATTTTTCCATCTTTATAGTCATTCAGGCATTCGGCAAGAGCGTTGAAGTCCGTCAACAAGTAATTGCAACCGCTTTGGTATATTTCAAAAGATTTTATAGTCGGTATGTTGCATATGAGAGAATGTTATCTATAACAATAAAGCAATTCATTTAAGACTATTGACCCATGGTTAATGGCTCCATCTTGTCTGTTTTTAGCATCTAAAGTTGAGGTTGGTTTGCTTATTCTAAAAATTTATGTCAAACAAATCTTTGCCGATTTTAGGAATTTGGTGTAGTTTCTCAAAAAAATCTAATGACATCATGTCGTAATGTGGGTAAGCTCTGTTTTTTAACTATTAATTCGGTCAATCCTAGTTCATAGTCATTATTTAATCTATTTTCCTGATGGTTACGGTTATCCATATCGTGCTCAAGATGTACTGGAATGTGAATTTATTTTACTTGAAGCAATGGTGAGATTGTTTTTCGGTTAATTTGTGATATTAAGAAAATGGGTGTGACGTCATTTTATTGTTGAAAATAATTCATGGAAAAGTATTGGTCGTGAGGGTTAGAGAGTTGAGACCGTTTTTTGCTACTCACGTTCTACCAATAATAAAATAAACTAAATACGACCATAACAGAGAGATTATCATTTGGTTCTGTCAGTCGTGATTTGATTTATGGTCATGAATTGTGCAATACCACTTTGTAATGCTTTGGCTGATAGGGTACAGTAGTCTCAAAGGTGGTAGATGGTATTTTTGGAGGCATAAAAACTTTCTGTGCGTCTATGAGGGAGATAATTACAAGCACCAAATTTTGGTGTAAGCTTTTGGCCCGCTTGCATTCTACATCAAGCAATAAAACCTTTTTTGTATTTTAGTCATAGTAGAATTCTGAGGAAATTCTCTAAATATTTTATCTTCAGGATTGTTCATTAGTCGTCTTTCATCCTTATCGTCCGTTAGTACAGTTTTGTGACGAACTTCGCCCCCAAATGCATGAGTATGCTGATGTACTGTTAGAACGTGCTTGGTAAGTCGTTTCCTGTAATATTTCTAATAGAGCATTCTAATTTGTTAAACAAAAATACCAAAGGTCTATATGTTATTTATCCCAACCAAAAACTTCATGTAATTCAGACCTTATCTACAAGGAATTGTGTGCGATTTTCGGTAGTATTTCTTGTGAATTATTTCTGTATGTTGTGGTCACTGTTGCTTGTGGAGTACTAATCTGGACACTCCAGATTCACAGAATTTAGTTTCAGTTTAGGATCTAAGTGATTGTACAGTATTTTTCGAGAAAATGCACGATAGTATATTCAGCTCATCAAACTAGTATTGATAATTTTATCTTATATGCGAGTATCGGTAATCGAGAATTTTAATTATCGAAACTGTCCTCGCTTACTAATGATCAATCCAACTATCTTATTTACATTTAGTTACTTTGGTCACTGAGGAAATTTAAAATCTACATTCTATATCCGAACCACAGTTAATCATCATTGGATATCAGCACCCTACTAATTCAGGCAATCACACAACATTATCACAACGCACCAACTCAGTCGTTCATAAGTAACATAAATACCTAGTGCATATATGGGTCAGCCTAATCTGTTCATAGGATAAGCTACTTTCCACAAATCCAGCTTCAATTTAGTGAATGAGAATATTACTATCCTCATCTTTGCTGCCCCTCTAACAAGAGTAAGAAATCAAGTCGTTGTTTAGAAGCTTGTTGATCCAAGACCCCAATAAAACCCAAAGTACATTTATGATAATTAGTAATCTATCGATCATGATTATTAAAGTTTACGATTCGAGTAATTGTCAATGAACACAAATCATTGTGACGAACGTATTGAAAGTTCATAGACAGTGTTATGACTGCGTCACCAATTATTATATCTGGTCGTCGCTGATTGTTATGTCGGAATCACTTATTACTTATGCTTGTAAAAACGAGGAACCACCGCTATTCCCACGATGCTAAAGTAAGAACACAAAAATTGGTACATGTGAAGATTTATTAAACTCAAAACACGGAGACGACGACTCTAGTCGAAAATACATCCATTTATATATTGATTGTACACTCATTTTCATTAATAATTAGGAATAAAATCACATGCCGGATGTCATGCTGAGCATAGTTCATGTTAACTTAATCCAAGAATATCGTATGTTATACAGAATAAAGTGTCATACGGGAAAACAAAACAAATACTACACTGAGTAATCATCACATCGAATTAAAACGGAAGCAATGTTGAACAAAAATCATAATTGAATTCATGGGTCAATTGAAGCTAGACCACCATCGAAAACCTGGCAGCACTGGGCGGCCGTTTCGTCATATTATGGGACTCCTCAGCAGTGCGCATCCACGATCCCGCACTCGCGAGCGAGATTCGAACCCGGAACCTACCAGTCTCGAGCCGGAGCCCCTAACCGATAGACCACTGAGCCGGTATCCAACGGTGTTAATGTCTAACTTCAACCAATACACGATTTTGAGCGACCGTTCACCACTGCTGAGGAGTCCCAGAATAGGGCGAAACGGCCGTCCAGTGCTTCCAGGTTTTCGATGGTGGTCTAGCTTCAATTGACTCATGAATTCAACTGTGAAAATACTAAATTCCCCACAAAACCCCCTCTGATCAAAAATCATAATGACTAAAAGAATGTAATTTTGACTTCATCCCGTCATATCAATAACGTATTCTTCATACAGTCATTCCTTACTCTCAGTACTCATTATCATACATTCCTGTCTAGTATTCGATGCGTATGACTAAATCAACTGCGAAAGGGGATATAACCAACAGCACTGACCTTCAGAACGAGATGAGCTTCGAAAAACTCAAAGAGATTGTCGAATACTGTTTACATACTTTGGTACAAGACTTGCAGTCATCATACCTTTATTGATTTAATCGTTCCATTTATTCATAATTATGAAAAGATAGTCCATACATACTATTCCACACTACTTTTTCAAATTTGGAATCCTATTAAATGTTTCGGAAATTCACATTTATTAGTGAATTATTTCAGTTTACCACTACTCTTAAGATATTTCTTACTATCTTGGGATATACTGACACATTAGGACTATTTAGTTAACTAGTTTTTTTCTAATTCGTACATCTTAGCTGAACTCACAAATCAATCAATTGATTGTATACTTGTTTTAAATGTGCTACAAATGATTACAATGTACATTCGATTATCTTTTTTATACCGATAAGGTGGCTAGTAAATGATAGTTTTCGAACAGACGTGTGCCTGCATTATCCTCCCTATATAATTGCTCTAGGTATGTTCATTTTTTAATCATATACATTATTAAGTCCTTATTTTTCTTAGATTCTAATGAGTTGGATGTAAGACCCGATTAGCTATTTTGTTTCATTCCATTTAAAATACGAAAGTTTCTAAACAGCTGGTCACTAAAGTAATCATTACCAGTTTCGTGAGAGCCCGAGCCTTTAACTACAAAATCTTATCTCCAAGGTAGTGGATTAACACCAAGTTATGCGGTCTCTCGATACTTAATGACCAGAGTAGATTGATACGCCGTTTGTTATTTCAGGACCTTGGAGCCTGTATGCACTAATGAGTTTCGAAACCCCCCTAGATAGGTCCCTCAAACCCATCAACTCAGTTTAAGTTGCTGATACCCACTTTTGCTCCTTATTATGGTAAAAATATCTTTATCATGTGAAGGTAATGGCTAAAGGTTCCGTGGAAGAGTGTAACCACAAGACCTTATAAAAGCACTTCGAAAACTAGGACAGACTACTCTCCCTCAACTGCAACATCGCATTGTCAAACATTCCTTTGAGTAATAAATTAGTTTTTTGTGACAGTTATGTAGTGTCTTTGTTATCAAACTTCATTTTATAATTCATTCATGCCACATTTTTGACATTATATGCCGTCGGTCTGTATGCTAATGATAACACACTGCTTGTTAAATATGTTTTTGTTCTGTTGTGTATGCAATTTGTAGTATACAGCACTGTAAAATTATTCTAATAAGACTTATGCGTCCTCCACAATAATCACTATTTCACATTTTTATCAATTTTATCTGGAAAAACCTGGAAGTCACATTCTTTCTGGAAGTATGAACTTACATTTTTTGTTATTACCTAATAATTCCTGTCAACCTAATCATGCCCATAAAGTATTATGCACTCGATACTAATTTTCAGAATATATTATTATTATTATTATTCAAAACAAACACAGGTTGTCTGCAACTGGCTGTTGTGATTATTTCAAGTAATCCTGACCTATTAGTCGGCTCCGTCAATATCAGTTCATCATCGTTTATGAATTCCAGTTTGTCTATTTCATCAAATAAACATGGTTACTTTGGGCACCAAACTCAATCAACTGTTAATCCTTCATTAGTTGCTGATCGTTGGTTCAGTGAATTAAATGTAGATATGGAAAGAGTGAGCATGAACTTATTTTTGTTTGTTTAAATGATTGTGTGCTGTTGTTTTTTTGTTTCATTTTTCCAATAAGTACATGTTTTGGTACATGGATTTTGTTTTTTAGGCATAAGGGACCTCATAATCGGATCATTATCACGTTGGATCTTGTTAACCTTTCTGATTATGAATTGTTTCATTTTATTCAGTGTGCTCGCTTGTTGTTCAGGAAACAGAGAGAAAGAGTTTAACGCATCACAGAAGTACTTTATGCTGGATGATTTGTATCCATTTTGTTGGTAAACCATAATCAATGATAACTATGAATAGGACATGTATATATCATTTTAATCCGACCCATTACATTAGTCTGGTGAAGTTGATTTGGTGAGCACAACTACATATGCACTTGTAACCGCAATTGTTGCAAGGACATAACTTAGTGCAAACAATGAAGTGTAATATGTGAGTATCATAATAAAAGAAAAAGTTAAAAGTAAACGAAGCATTAGTGCATGTATCTATTTCATAATGATGAGTTCAACAACTGATGACATTTACCTGTCAGCAAACATCTATTGTTAACTATGGTTTTAAGTTTAGGCCGGTTGGTCGACGGTTAAAGCGTTCGACTTTCAACTACTAGGTTGAAATTCATTGCACTGCTGTTTAGCTAACAACTTAGTATCATTTAAAATGAGAAATCAGTTGATAAGGTAGTGAACCTTCATATACTGAGGTGGTTAGGATATGTATTAAGCATGCCCACCTATCTGGAGGCGTGATGATGACTAGTGTAAGAATAGGTTGGACGAAAGCTAGAGGCAGCCAAGCCAAAACATGCGATTGGTTCATTAATTCATTTACTGTTGGATCGAGCCGTGTTAGTGAGTGCAGTTTACCTAGTTGGAGTCCTTGGTACTCGAACCCAGAACCTTCGGTTTCTCGTGCGAACGTTCAACCTTTAGACCACTGAGCCGGCATCCAGTGGCGTCATCCTCTATATTCGCTGATATCAATTTAAGCTCAACAATCTCCACAATCCTTTACTGATAATTATCGGTATTTGTAGGTGGTCAAAATTATTAAAATTGTCAGCCTAAAAAATAACTTTTGTCCTAGCATATAGTTCGGTTGTCCACTGTAAATCTTTCTCACATCTACAATTTTATTGACTTACCATGAAATTTTGGTGTGATATTCCACTCTAAATGTTCTATTTGTCAGGTTCTCTCTGTCGTTTAAGGGCAACTACTTTGTATTATATTAATAAATTGTGTCCCATTCAATCTGATTTTTATTGTTTATCTTCTTCCCCTCACCAAGATGGTTCGATTCTACAATATTACTGGGTAATACTGTTTTATATTACTTTAGGTCTTGGAAATTTCTCGTCATCTACTTAGTTTGTATGATTTATGGCGCCGCTTTGATGAACTTGCTGAAATGCCTAACATATTATTAAAAAAACTCCCACGTCCTGTCATTCAATCACCGCATACTTCACAAAATTACCAGTCTGTCAATCCGACGGGTTGTAATAGTACTACTGCAACTCAATCATCTAATCTATCTAGTGGTACACAACAACAAAATCATGGTGGATCCATGGTTGTACAATCGGCTACAGGTGCTGTTGGTACAGGAAGTAGTAGTGGTGCTACGGGAACTGTTGGTAGTATACATACTATGCCGGATCATCAAACTCAACAACAACAAAGATCAATGACGTCATCTAATCAACCACGTATGCATCCACAAGGTGGCGGGATGCAGCATATGGGAGTTAGATAGACGGATAAAAACAAAGCGAGTATGACTGCATATCTGTATAAAATTTAGGGAGTATTTATTTATATGTATTCAGTTCTATGTACAAAAATAATATATATTTCCTGATTTATTTCTGCTGAATTTATATGTGTGGGTTAATCAATGCTTTTACGTGTTAATTTTGATTGAACATGTCGTTTTAGCAATGCAGCAGTATATCAGGTTAATTAGAATAAATATTTTTCAGTATAGGGTTGTGGAGAGGGTTGAATTTCCCTGTAAAATACGAACCGATTTAATTTATTTTGTATATTCGCTGATCTTAACTACTTATAAGTAGTAGGTTTATCAGTCAAAAAAGTTCCTTCAATTTCATCTACAATGATGTGTTTTAGTGAATACACAAGTATGATGTCCATTTGTGATGAATAACTTGTGATTTCAATAGAAAAACGAAGTCTAACCATTATACCAAGGTTTATAAAGGTCTGCCAAAGAATAAACCTTTTTTAAACCAGGCCGGTATAATTAATACAATGATATTTCACTATGCTTAATATAATCTGAATTTTATTTCAAAATTAATACTCAAGGCGATCAATTTCTAATGAATTTTATATTTAGAGTTGAGTCTAAACAAGCAATCTTATGATAGAAGTTTATGGGAAAAATAGGACAGAAACTAATTGTCAATATCATGGTGGATCACCTAATTCAAATAAGTAAAGAGCGTAACAATAAGGTATACAAGCAACACATTATTTAATTTTTAATGGTTGAATTATATCTTTGAATGGAATTTTATCGGTCTTCCATCTATTTTTTATCATCTTGTGCCATAACGGCCATATTGAAACAATCTGCAAAAGATCCCCATATGCCAACCAAAACTAATCGAATTTTCAGTCAAAATATCGAAAACGCGATGATCCTAATGATTGCAAATTTAATTCACTCCCATACTCGTTTCAAAAGTAAATAGATATCTAGAATCAGTAGCTAAGTGGGTAATGTGATGGCGTTTGGAGCGAACGGTATTAGGCCCGAGTCCTTTATTAAAAATCAACTCTAAAATTCAGATATATCCAGCTGACGAGTCCCAAATAGGACGAAACGCGCAAACTGGATCCCACTGCTAGTCACATACTATATATTCTATGGTAACTGGTTGATTCTTTTGTTTAGAAATTCTTGTTAGAGATTTAATCAATTAAAGGTGAAGATATCAACCGTTGAATTTTTAATCTCATATACTAGAAAAATTGTATTCGTTGTAACGTCTGAAAGTCTTCAGTTAGATTCTATATAGAGTTCAATATATATGCACTATTAAAAGGATTTAATTTGGATTTAAGATAATCTTCTCAATAAGGTCAGTTCTAAAAAAAATCATTTTTAAAAGTTTGTAAAATTACCTTGTTTATCGTTTGTTTCTTCAATAACTTTGTGTACTTAATAGTGTTAAAAGTTTATTACTTTTTTTCACTACAACTCAGTTCAATTATATACATTTTTAATTAATTCAGTTAAGTATTTTGTTACCATCATATACATTGTCACTACATTAGATCATATGATATGGCTTAACGAAGATCGAAGATTATATATAAATATATATATATATATATATCATATACACATAACTATATGAATATGTTTTTAAAAGTTCATTGAGATCAATATATTTTTACTAATTAGTGGTTAATTAAAAAAGATGAATTTATCAAACCAATACTATGTTCGATCGCTGCTCTTACTTACTTACTTACACCTGCTACACCTCGTGGAAGAGCATAGGCCGCTCATCAGCACTCGTCATTCAACTCTGTCCTGGGCAATCCTTTCCAGTTGCTATTCATCCTTTTCATGTTTGCTTCCAACTCTCGACGCAATGTGTTCTTTGATCTTCAACTTTTCCGTTTCCCTTTACGATTTCAAGTTACCGCTTGCCTCGTGATTCAGTTTGGTGATTTCCTCAATGAATGTCCTATGCATTTTAAGCGTCTTTTCCTAAGTACGTCTTCAGCTTCAAGCTCGTTTGTTCTCTCATAGTAGGTTGTTGGTGATGGTATCCGTTCAACAGTGAACATTGAGTATCCTGCGTAAACGATCTTTCAGAAATACCAGTACCTTTTCGATGATGATTGTGGTATTTCTCGAAGTTTCAGCTCCAAACAGCAGAACTGTCTTGACGTTGGTGATGAAGATCATGACTTTGATATTGGTTGAAGGTTGTTTTGAGTTCCATATGTTCTTCAATTGTAGGAATGTGTACATTTCCACTTCCAAAGTTTCTCCATCAAGTGTGATTGGATTCGTATTCGCTGTGTTGTATTTCACGATCCTTATTATTCCATTATGTATGTTGAGGCTTACCAGTGTAGAGGCTTCTGCTGCACTGGTTGTCGTCATCTGCATTTGTTTGTGTGTATAGGATAGAAGAACCAGGTCATCTGTCAAGTTCAAATCGTTCAACTCCATCCAACCTGTCCATTGTATTCCATGTTTCACTTCACATGTGGAGGACTTCATAATCCCGTCAACCACCTTAAGAAAGAGTAAGGGCGAGAGACAGTAAGCAGCCTTGTCTGAAAGGGTCCTCACTTCGAATGCATTTGTGAGTTGTCCTCCATGCACGACTTTGCAGTGTAGTTTGTTGTATGAATTCCGTATGATGTTTACTACCATATCATCTACACCATAGTGTGTAAGATGGCCCTTTTGTCCACACTGTCAGATGCTATCTCATAGTTAAGGGATTTGAGGTATTAGGACGAATTCCTTTCAATCGATTGTTCAACAATAATCCGTAGCGTCACCATTTGGTTTGTGCACGACCGATCCTTACGGAGTCCAACCTCTTAATCTCGAAGCTGAGCGTCTACTAAATCTCTCATCCGGTTCGCCAGCACTGTTGAAAACGTTTCCCGGTACTGAGAGTAGTTTAATTATTTAGTAGGCCTTATATTTGCCCAGATCTCCTTTCTTCGGTACGTTGATGAGGTGTCCTTTTTACCAGTTCGTCAGCAATTGTCCTTCCTCCCAAACCTCCTGCATAGAACGTAGAGCGTTGTTGCAGTCACTTCCATACCTGACTTTATTGGTTCAGCTTGTACGGTTTTAGGTCATGCTGTTTTCCTACTCTTCAGTTGTTGATGGAATGACAGATAATGGGAAGGTCCGTTTGTGCTGCTTCGAAATTCAGTGGATTCAATGGAACTGATCGATTCAAGAGTACTTTGAAGTATTAAACCCATCTGTTCCTCTGTCCTTGAATCTCCGTGATTGTCTTTCCTCCTTTGTCCTTGACCAGTCTCTCTGACTCACTATATTTCCCAGATAGTTTCTTCATCGTGTCATACAGTTGTTGCATATTCCCTTCTCTTGCAGCAATTTTTTTGTTGTCGCTGCTAGATTTTCCACGTACTTTTGCTTATCATCTCTAATGCTCCTCTTCACTTGCTTCTTTGCTTTCGTTCTGTGCCTTGACTTTCTCTGCTATTGATCTACTGTTGTTAATTGCTGTCTGCTTGTTCTTTTTTTCTTGAAACTTGTCCACAGTTTTGGTAGGGATATATTCCTTATGATGATGATGCTTGTTGCAACCCAGAACCTCCTGACACGTTGAAGTTAGTGCTCCTTTGATCTCTTCCCAGTTGTCCTCCATAGCAGTTCTCTCTTTTTTGAGTAGACTTTGTATAACCTGAAACGTGTTGTTGAGTTGTATCATGAATTCGTTGAATTTGTCAGTATGTCGAAGGAAGGTTGTATTGAACCTCTGTAATACTGTTTCCCCAGTTGTCCAGTGTCTCCTTAGCTTCAGTTTCATGTTGGCAACTACCAGTTTTTGTAGTAATCTGAAGATATGTCATCTCCTCTCCTAGTTCTAACGTCTTCTATTGACCTTCTGATTTGTTTATGGATGCAAATATGATTGATCTGATCAGTACTACTAATCGTCAAATCATTATTACCAAAGGAATATTTCTTATTGTTAGTTATATTTATACCTTAAAGTATTGGAAAGTTTAGCTGGGTTTTCTGTTGTGACTTTATAAAAAGAAGTCCGTTGCCAATTTGTTATGATTTTATGTTCGGCTGTTTATCACGTGAACTATCTACCAATCGAAATACGACTTATCTAATCTTAACACTTTGCCAAACAAATAACTTCGACCAGTATGAGCAGTCTAGCTTCCTTATTGGTCTCTTGTCAGCCTAGCCCTTCCAATTGAGTCCAGAAAACCAATTACAGCTTCAGCTATGCGAATCATTTATTTCAAACATACTCGGTTTATATACCAGACAGATAGACGGCATTACAGCATCAAATAGAAAATAATATTTGTACAAGATCAAGCCAAGAAGTGGTTGTGAACGTGGGCGACAATAATCAATAAAGTGAGTATAATTTAGGAACAGTAAATCGTATAATAATAATCCATAGATCAAAATGAAGCTTATAATAAGATGAATATAGATATACACAATCTATTTACTCAATAGTTAAACAATAAGAATATATATAGAATAATAGGTCATAGGAATTACTCGTACTTATGTCTTCACCAGGATAATATAATAGTTTCTAAGTAAAATAAGATATATTAAGAAAAATTCCTTATTCCATTGTTTTTATTTAATTAGGAATTGTAAATATCAATCTATTCACCAGTCATAATATAAACAGATATATGCATACCTACTTGTCAGAATAATTATCCTACTTAAATTATTAAAAAAAAAACTCAATTGACACCCGTATTGTATTGTTTAAATGATTATTGTCTTAAATTGGTTAGAAAAAATACCAATCAGAATGAAACAGTAAAAATATCAGATCAATAGTGAGTCTTTTGTGTGGATGATAACCATTACAAATGAGTCAGTCAGTGCATATCATCTATCTTGTATGTTCATTCATTTTAATTAATGATGTAGTTGTGCACAAAAAAAGAACAGACAGTTACATAGTTCAATATTCTTTTTTCCAATTATAAAGTATTTCAAGAATGTAAAAATAGTTTATGAGCGTGTATTCATATATATAAATGCGCAATAAACATTATTAATGCTGAAGATTTATGAGAGAAAAGAAAAACGTAATTCAATAATTCATATCACTAATT